AGCTGACAAGGAAGCCTGGTGGACCAGTAGGGCTCAAGAAATGGAGGAGGCAGGAGCGGTAGACAATTACCGCAAGCTCTTCCAGCAGATCCGCACCACTGGTCCCAGAAAACCAGGCGTCCGTGAGACAATCAGAGACAGCGCGGGTGCGCTGATACACAATAAGGAGCGCCGTATGGCTGGTTGGGCGGAACAGTTTCAAGATCAGTTCAGCTGGCCTCCTGCTTCCTGACCTCTTCCTACTCAGGTGATCCTGGACGTGCCATGGACGGTTAGTTTAGAGCCTCCGTCAGAGGCCGAGGTCCGAAACGCGATCACAGCCCTTAATCGTTTTCGTGCTGCTGGCCCGGATTCTATCCAACATGCACTATTTAAGGATGGAGGTGAGGTCCTCTTCAAATTATTCACCTCCTTATTCGAATGTATCTGGAAGGAAGAGAGTGTCCCGGCTAATTGTAGCGAATCGATTATAGTGGCAATCTACAAGAAGGGCAGTCGCACAGACTGTTCTAACCACAGGGGTATTAGCCTAACGCCAGTTGTGACAAAATTACTGGCCTCGATTCTCGTTCGTCGCCTCACTGCGGAACGAGAATCTGGGATTAGGGAAGAGCAGGCCGGTTTTCGCCCAGGACGTGGCTGTATGGACCATATATTCACTTTGCGGCAGGTGCTAGAGCAGCGCCACGCATACTGCAGACCGACAATAGCTGTGTTCCTCGATTTCAAATGTGCGTTCGATTCAGCAGATCGATCGATTCTGTTCGAAATACTTGCGCGGAATGGTGTTATAACGAAATATGTGAACATCCTTCGTGCTCTATACTCGAACACTACAGGCCGCGTCAGGGTCTACGGTGACCTATCGGATAGCTTTCCGACCACAAGTGACGTTCCTCAGGGTTGTCAGATTTCCCCGTAAGGAAGCTGTCTCGCCGAGGCCGCCTTATATTTGCACGATAGCCAGATGTTTGTGACGGTATGTTTTCTTCACAAGGTGTAGGCGCCTTGACCCTGAATGTTTGCTTAGGTCAATAAGGTTTTCAGGTAAGTCCCCCTTCTCTCCCTCTTGGTTGTATGGCAGCGAAGCATCAGTTCAAATGACTGATGTACTGCTGTTGATCATGATGATGATTATGACAAGTTGTGTTGTGCACAGCGGTGATGCAGCACAAGTGCAGCGTCCAAGCTGCGCTGTCCCTTGACAATTTAGCTAAGCGGTCGCCTCTTCTATTTGGGCCCCTCGTGACCCCAGTGCGACTGAGACACACACCATGCACAAGTGTACCGGGTTTCCGAAATGCGTAGGTTGAGTTTCGACGTCAGTTATCGCTTGCTTTACTCATGTTCAGCTAGTGACAGTCTCTTCTGCTGCGCCAGGGCAGTGATGTTATTGTTAAGGTCGGGCTATTGGCGAGACTCACATTCATTGCTTCTCAACATTTAATTAGACATTACTTCGTGATCAAAGTACTTTGGTATAGATGGGCTTTTTTAAAATTTCGCTTCGCTACAAGCAGCTGATCATGCTGGAGGCCTTTATAACTTTTGGTCTTATTCATACTGTGGTTGTGTTAACAATATCTTACGTGTCGCAGAAGTCGCATGTAGCTCATCACGTACATGTCGTTGCGGCGGATGGCCTCAGTATCATGCATGCATTCTGTCATATCAGAGGATGCGTGGAATCCTTAGCAGACAAGAAGGAAAATCCATCCATTGACTGGACTTCCATTACAGTGCCCACATTTCGCAGTCAAAGAGAAGGACCGGTATAGTACCTTCATCATACAATGCAAGACACCTTTGCAGGCATGTTAGTAAAGCGTGGTTACTTTACGCACTCGAGTCCTCGCTTTGAAACAATGGGCGTTCAGCAACCTGCCATCAAATCCGCACCCAAGATCGATACCGTATTCATGTGTACGGAAAGCATTAGACATTTTTGTGGTTAGATGAATAATAAACAGATTGTGGCTAGGCGATCCTAGGACCACGTGAACTGCCTCCAGGGTTTGTCCACACAGCCTTATCTTAACTTGCACACCAATTTGTGCGAATAATTATCTGTTCATTTGAATTCACCTCACCCAAGCAATAGCACCTCACGATACACCGCATAAATGCACTATTGACGTCGATATTAAGTACAATGAAGAGTTTCGTTCATGGCATTAGTGATACAGTTGACGAGTTGCGGAGGCTATAGCTATCCTACGGTGGTACCGGCAAATTCCACTCTGATTTTCGGTCAACTTTTGTTAGAGGACATTGGTGACGGAGCGACTGAGTCGGAACCAGGCCATCATATTCCTGACGCGTCACAACAAGTTAACGGTACAATAACTGTTGGCACAGTATTTTGTTCCTCCCCTCTTGCACAGTGGAAGCATAAGCGTAGTCCTCCATTCAGCTGATAATAGATCTTCAATTTAACTGCGTTTCTTCAAGTGACACAAAGTATGTAGAATTGAGGATCCGGCGTTCTTCACTGCCTCTGGCTGTCTCACATTGGCACCGACGCACTTACCGTTTTAAGGTTGAAATAGTGCTCTCTGTTTTTACTGCAGTCCCAGCGTATTCGCAAGTCTGTCCTACATATTATGCTGTTACAGTTCTTGAAAAGTCATCTTTCTACAAATGAACCGTTGTTATGGGCACCTCCGAAGTAACGGAGTCACATTTGCATCATATCCGGGGAGTATGCGTACTTGACGATGGATGCATTATCCAGCAGCTCCCTGCTCAAGTATGAAACATGTCTTAACACCACCAACTATAAGTTATATAATTTCTTATGTTGACGGTGTTCGTCGTAATGCTTAATCTGCTTCACATTTCCCGCCCACCATGATCTTCCATGCGATAAATATCCGGAGTCAATGTCGAGGCGTCTTGCGAACGGACCCTTCTCCGCATTACCGGGGTCCTTCACATGTGCAGCCGCAGCTGACTTCCTCTCCGACACAAATAGGCCAGTGCTTACATTGCCATCAGTAAGCCAAACGGACTAGGTACACCTTGCTCGCCCGATAATCTCAAAAGAGACAGCGGTTCCGCGTTCCTTGAGATGTCGTCCGCAGTGAGATCAACGTCACTACAGCTAGTAGTCATTGCACTCGGCGGATCATTCCTCTACTTGAGAGCACTTAGAGAAGGAATAGAATTGGCCATGGTTCACAGCGAACATTATATGGATTTACTACAGGCATGTACAATTTGTGTTCGATTCAACGATTAACAACACGAAGTACACGTGTTACTCTTTCCTTGTACATGCCACACTTGTGTGCCATAATTTAGGCCGTCAAGCTAGCTTGACCACTCCATGGGTTGGTCTAAGTAACAACATAACTTGTACCCATTTAACACTGCATGTTCGTGGTCGTCAGTCCATGGGTGGCACACCGTGAGTAATGGTGGTCACCGTTCCCATTGGCTAAGCTAATACTACGCGACACTCTTACACTTGACTAAACCATGGCACGATGTCCAAAACGAGTTGTAATCACCCATCCGCAATGGTTGGTACCTTCTCAGCACAGGCCGTATAACGGAAGACAGCTGAGCATCCAACTGATCTTACATGTAATCTGGATGACGCATTGATGGTAGTTACGGGCTAATCCTTATTGATGTGTAGGCGTAATGACATTACGCTTGGGCTGATGCCAGTTGGATTTATACCAGATTCCACTTATGCGGTTGGTAGCACAAATCCAACACCACATTGACTTGGCGCCGTGCCCTTTCCAGTAGGTGCAACATACACTATCCTCGTGACACTTGCCGTGGTCAGGCATCCAACGGTCGTTGAGTTGGGCAACATGTATGCCATTGTTACTGAGTTTCACAAACTCAAATGTGGTGCGTCACATGGGTGTGCGCTGATTTCAGCATCTTTTCACGAACTGTTTGCGCAGGGACGTGATCGTGCCGATTAATCTTTGCAGCGTTGTTGTAGGGCTTAGGTGGATAGGTAAAGTCAAATGAAATGAGAATTAGGAGGGTAGAGAGAGGAAAGAGAAGACGTAAGAGTTTTAGAACCAGCAGGCGTATGTTCTTGTTTGCAAGCTCCTCTGTAACCTAGGATTATTTGTGTTTGTGTCAGTCATGACTGGTAGTTGGACTGATAAACATCCGAGGCTTCTACAAGTGAACAGGGAAATACTCATTTTCAAGTCGTATTCTTTGATAAAATATACTCTTAAAGAACTGTGTGAAGTGTGTCGTGAGCCAAACGACAACCGCGGATGCGCCTGTCTGTTGACGAGAATGAGGCTATTGTTTGATTCCCGGTTAGATGTGGCCAGGAGAAGGCGTCCAAGATATCAATCCAAGGCAGGGCCGAAGCAACAGCAAGTTTCTGCTCTGTCAGCAACCTGCCCCTACAAACCGTAGTAATCTATAAACTTTTCTGCCTAATTGTTCACATAACTTGCCAAGCAATCACTGTTTATCTCCTTTTCAAACTGAGGGACCACAAATCATCAGTTAATTTCATTGAAGAATAATTGTCATTTTTCATGGAACTAATGTTCCCGCTGCTACCTGACCATCAACTAACTGTCAAAAGTGAGACTTCTTTCTCGATGGGCTTCTCCAGCAGCTACATATCTATCTGAGGACAGTATTGATGAAATAACGCAGAAAATATGAGCTATGTGAATTCTTATGTTATGCAGGTTGGCATTAGTGGGGGTTAAGCATAACATAATCTCAGATTTATCCTTTGGCATCTCATCGGTATTATTGCTTTTTCTGTGATGGGAATACCTTATAAATTTTGAAATACACATTCCATAGTTGACGATGGATGCAGTTCTCGTTCATCAGACCATTGACCTCAGTAAAGCGAAGCATCCGCTATAAAGTTTCAAAGCAATTTTTAAGTTTACCCTTAACCATAGACTGAAGGAGTGAAATAATAAATGATACTTATAACTATATCCGCTTTACCGCTTTTAATTTCCTAATAACGTAAATATGCTACATTTTAGAGAATCCTTTCAAAAAATTGGCTCAGTTAAAGAAGGTGGAGCGAACTAATGAACTGGCTTCTGCATTTAGCAAGCCTAAACCGAAGGCACTAGACCTTCGACGGATGGAAAGAGGTAAGTGCGACCAGGAAAATGTGACGGAGTTAATGGAATTAAATATTTGCTTTTACAAATCCACTTGCCAACAGTAAAAATTAAAATGGCAATGTGTGCAGCACGCTAGCTTTTCCAGATTATGTGGGCAAAATGTTTGCGGGATGACTATTTGTTAAGAATACCTGTGTTATCCCAATAGTATTGAAAGCAAATAAGTTCCAAATAAATACTTCCAGAGGTTATCATAAAGCGTGCAATCATAATTAGGACACGGCTTGTCTTGTCTCTCAATATACGAAATTAGAAGAGTTCTACTGCAAAGGCTGTGGTTGATTTCACTGTGTACAAAAAGTCACTCTAGTGGATAAGCGGCATGTGTACTCACTAAGAAGTCTTGAATAGCCGTTGTTGTGTAACATACGTCCAGGTCGACAGAAACCGGAGATGAGGTTGCACACTAGATAAATGTCCAACATGCATTAAGTACTAAAGGGTTTCTTTTAAGTAAGTAAGTAAGTAAGTAAGTAGGCCAGTATGAGGCTCAACTACTTTTCGGACTATATGGATGGTTTAACCCGTGGATAGAGATAACAAATGAACATAAGGAAAATGCAGCCGTCAACACAAGACTCTCATAATCATCAACGAATAACCATGTATGATGGCTGGCGTAGGGAAAGACGGACCACCGCTCAATTTCTGACCGTTGTGTCATACTCTGCTCTCGAATCTCAGTATGTTAGTGATCAAGGCGATAGCCTTCAACCACTATGTACAGAGTTCCACTCCCAGATCAGGCTAACTCTACCTGACGTGTCCAAAGCAGGACGAAGCCGGTCGGTCATGAAATGCATTACTGAGAGAGGACAGTTCCGAAACCCTCCACTGAGATTGTGCTTGATTAGAAATTTCTATTCAAATGGAGACTGTGTGGTTTCAGCTTCTAAAGGCATATGTTTTACCATGTGGCTTTCCTTTTGAACAATAGTAATGTCCTTTAACTCAAATTGAGCGGAGATCTCAGGAGAGGTTGCGAGTCGCAACGCAACCACGCCGCGTGCTCCCTAAATTCAGCTTTGAGTAATAATAGTTACTTACTGCAAGTTGTGTACTGCTATGTCTCGCGTGGAAGAATTCTCATCCGTAGTACTACCTGGGACACCATCTTGCTGAATTCTGTCCTTCAGAGATAAAAATTTTATTCAGCAGAGCAATCTCAACAAAAAGGAGGGATACCTATCAAGTACAAGTCTTGGTGTAGATAACTAGGCTGCTTTCAGAACTGACAATACCCCTGCATCCATGGGATTCCTTCTTTGCTTCACCCAAAAAACCTCACTGAAGCACAGCCAACTTGTATCCAGTCAGCGTAGGCGTAAAGAGGTGTAGGCCTCCAATTTATTGCTATGTTAGTTTGCAGCAATCTGGCTGTTTGATTCATCACGTAAACGCGCTTCATATCTATGGTTGCATATTCCCGTCTCACTAAGCATTGCTTACGCGATTTAATGACGTGGTGATTAAGATGGCAACCTTTGACCCCTATGCGCTTCTTTTCACTGCCAGCTCTAATTATATTTACAGTGTCGAATATATACATGATGCTACTTTTCAGGGGTTAATTGTTAGGTGAAAAAAGTTGTAGCTACATCGCTGATTGTATTTAACGGCAACTCAGTAGGCAGCATTTTGAAGAGAATGGTCCATTTTACAGTAACATGTCTTATTTGTGTGCACCTACTTCGAATAATCGGAGAGCCAATTGGACAAGCCGAATAATGTTGACTTCAAATTCAGTTCCAATCCACTTATTTAAATCGGATTATTCAGTACAACTGTAACATGCCAGATGCCGCAAACGCAAACCATCTTCCGTTTGGCTTTTATTCTCGTCGGCAAGCTTTTATGGATGCACTGAGAAGCCAGTCAGTGCACTAAACTTTCGAATAACACCCCCAAGACCACTGAGTTCGGATACTGCAGAGTCAATAGATTTGTGCTAGTTTGCTGCAGTTTATGGGCCTTGAGGTAATCCTGTGTTATTGTAATATTAGCTAATTTCTAAACTAGAGCTCTACCTGTTGCTGGGCTGTGGGCAAGCTTCGTCACGTATATGATCTCCATTTGCACAAATCCAGAAATTTATTAAGTCATGTTGACGTTGTGTTGCTGGTGTTTTGTATATACTGCTTGCTACCGTGAGTAGCTCTCCGTACTCATTCTATATAAACTCGACAATGGAATTCGTTAGCAGTGGCAGTGCAGGTGTATCTGATTTGTTTTCCATCAACATCCAGTCTATAACTTATGTATACTGAGAAGTCTAAGCGGATTAGAATACTTCGGTGGTAATTTATCACAGTCTACTCTCAGTCAGTGGACGGTACCGCCTCTGGAAAGGCACCAGCTAGTGCTATTTCGATCTTCTGGGTCTCATCAATGGTGCGCCTTCCTCGGACACCTGCCAGGTACCGATCCCAGGACCTCCGGATATCAGCAACTGGTGCCATTCACCTGAATGATTGACAGGTGACTATGATTTAGCCCGGCTCATTTTCCACCGCCATGCCAGAAGGTCGAAACAGCGCTGTCTGGAGAATTTCTAGACGTGCCACCGCCTGCTAACTGAGAGTAGACTCTGATGAATTAAAATAAAATCCCCACTACTTATTAGTAATGGATTTAGAATAGTTGACTTCACTGATCCGGGCAGCCAGACATTAATTGAGCACCCAACCCCCTCGATAAAAGTGCATTAGACAGATGCGTCAGACAAACTCTTGCATCAACACAGCTGTCCCAATGGAGAATAAACTTCAAACACCGTTACGTCTGACCAACAAGCCGCCTAGGTGTGCTGTACGACATCAAATGCATATGTTAAGTAAAAGTAACGCCGTCGTTAAATTTGTTGCATACGCCTTAAACTTTTGTCATAAAATGTAGAGCTGCGTTAACTAGACAAAGTGTTTTTATTTAAATTTCTCAGCATCGCCAAATTGCTGATATCCATCAGACAAGAGATTTACTTACTAAGTGTCCAATCACTTGTGTATCGGATCCAGTGGACACAGCACGGTAGACCCGCAGCAGTAATTACACCATTAACCGGAAAAATATCACACTTTTCATCGGACACGCAGTCAAGGAAGAGAGCGCTTCTTGCTCAAGGCTTAATTCGGCAAATAGTGGACGTTTACCACTTGTATAGCTCCACTCCCTGTCCATTTTAGTTATGACAGTACCACCCTGCCTGACTGATGGCGTCACGATTTTATACCTATGTGGTGTCTAAACGTATTTTCTATTTACTGCGAATTGCATTTATTTCTCATCCACTTTATCTTTGCTACCATACACATCCGATCTGATTTGTCTCATGTTTGTGCAGAATCGGAGCACAAGGCGCGTAGCGCTGCCGGTGCTGAAGCACTGGAAGTGGAAAATTTATACTCTCGTGTTCAGGCACAGCTTCGTACAAGCCGACGCACTAGCTTACCACCACCTACTCCGCCAGCTCAAGCACCAGTAAGACAGTTTCAGCCACCGGCTTCTGTCACCCCGACGAGACAGCAACGGTCGACGGAACCACCTGTGCATGTGAGTAAACGCTGTTTGACGAGTGTGATTTGCTCACAAGATGAATGCGGAATTAGACATGGATGGTTTGCTTGCATGTTGAGAACTTGGTGCACAACCCATTGAAGTGTGGACCCAGCGTAGAGCAAAAAAGCGCATTACTGGATGGCCGCGATTGGTTTTCTGGATAACGGCAGAAACTGCATTCAAGACTCATTAGCTAACGCTAGTTCCACAGTAGTGTTTATCTACAGGACATGCCGGTACCAGTTAATCCTTTTCAACACATGTTAGTATGATCCAGGCCAATTATTCGATTGTACACCAGATTTCCATGAAGGCGACCACTAATTTCAATACAAACGGCAAAGACGCAGTCGTTTACGTGGTTGTGTATCGAACTATTTTAATGGTAAAGACATTCACGCGGAAACATCTAATGTCTCTAGTTCCTACGTTTCATCCCTAGTTCACATCATGTGTTTCATAAAGTATAGGGTTTGTTTGCATTGAATATTGGCTGATCCACTTATGGGTATGTGTACTATAAGCACCTAAGGAATTCAAAAGTTTAATGAATAGTTTTATTCCCTTGTTTGTTAACTCCTATGCCATTACCGGATGTGTTTTTAAGTTGTCAGTTCTTCATTTAATTTTTTACTCTCGCGTTCTTTGTATTTTGGATTTATGTCGGAAGAATGACGTGATGGTTTATTAATGCGCCATTTAATACTAATACGAAAGTTAGCTGATAGCTTTTCGGTCTGTCTACATTCCGGCCGAGTAAGTCGTACAGAAAATTGCTGCCTATGCAACGAATTCAAAAAACGACGCCGAGTAATAGACACTAATTTAGCACAAAGCAAAATTTAATTAAAAAATGTATGTAGTGACTGCCTGCCTCTCAGTTGATGTGAAGACTCCATTACTACAGTATGGATAGACAAAGTCAAAGAAACTGAAAAGCTTGTATGTGGTTTTTTGTGTGTAGTGTAATTTTCGTAGAAAGTAGAAGTCACGATTAAACTGTACACAATAATCTGCCTCGACGGGGGATCGAGCCCCGTCGGGTTCGATTCCCCGTCGAGGCAGATTATTATGTGCAGTTTAATCGTGACTTCTAATTTCTACGAAACTGAAAAGACTTTGTATTTATACCCTTTACATACCACTTAAGTGTCCAGAGGCTGTGGTGCTGCTGAACACTTTAACGCAAACCTCGGTGGTCCGTCCATGTAATGCGCTTTCTGCGAGGGTTCTCCGACAAACTCTCGCCTAAATCATTTTACCTTACCTCCGTCTTTTGTTTCTTCAAATTTTCAGTCGATACAGCAACAGGGTGCGCAAAGATTTCCAGCTCAACAACAACCTCAACAGCCACATGCACCAGCAAAACAAGCTCCAATTGCTCCATCCTCACCATTGCCTCCACCGCCCCCAATGGCAAATCATGCTGACCCTATTCCACCACCACCGCCACCTCCTCCAAGTCAAGCTTTTCATTCAGGAATTGCAAGCCAGGTGAGGCAAACCTTGCACTTTAGTTTTCTAATGTCCGTACAGTTCCAGATTTAAAACTCACTAGCCATGGAAGACTTTATTCATAAATGTTCGTTAAACCGCGTAAGGAGAATTTATACCAGTTCACGGACCCCTGAAGCTAAAAGTTGACAAAATCTCGATGTTTTAATGTAGATAAATACATTGAAATAAACAAACAAATAAATAAGAGCTTCTAATTTATTAACTACCTATTCCCCATACCGTTAGTTTTTCCAATGTTGGCCACTAATGATCGGATTTCTTGAGGTGACAGTCTGCACCTTCCAGGATAAAAAGATTACACCCATACGAGGAGTATTGCCTCTGAGTCACTGGTGGTGTTGACATTGAACCACAGTATACTGTTATTATTATGATACGCAAAAAAAGTGTATTGTACAAAATTAGTGAATGATAAAATGGATGGGTGACCTGATCGTCCACATGCTACATAACAGCTCTGAAATATGTAAACAGCGGATGACCCAATTGCCACATCGGCACCCATGAACACAGCCAGATGGAGCATGGTAGTGCGAGTGAAACCTTTCGTGGGAATGACCTGCATGGAAGCAGGTTCCCTGGAGGTTTTATGGATGGCCGGATTACCTTACTAGACCTTTAGTTACATCTCCATTTATTGTGATCCCAGTTTCTTAACCACGTTATTAATTTCCAAGCGCCAATCACTTTTAAACATTCAGTTCAGGCTCCACTGTATAAAACGGGAATCATTATCTATTTTACGCAAACTCTTTGTATACCTTGATCAGACCATCCAATTGGATTGCCTTCCGTACAGTCGTGGAATATGCCTTTTATATATTTATTTATTTGTCTACCCTGATTTCCCTAAATAGGAATTACAGTATGTGTTTAAGTATTGTAACAGCAACTAGTACAGCTTCGTAGCTCAAAATCTTTCTTGCCAGGTAGGCGTTCACTCTGAACGGGCTGCTAATCACTATCTGAAATGTTGGATGCGACGACATTTATTATTAAGACATGAAAATTATTTTGATAGTAGCAGAATTTTAGCCATGATTCAACGAAAATATTGTATGTTTGGTTGTTTCAAATGCGCCAAAATATTTGCCAAGTAGAAACATAACATGTACTCACAGAGTAATCAGCCTTAACCATTAGGCAGGAGTTATTGAGCTGAATTTATCAGCACTTTATACCGAATCCCAGAAGTACGCGACACAAACCTCCCTCCAAATGCTCACTAAATGACAGCTAGTTTGATTATTCGACACGCATTCTATCATCGGTCTTCCTTCTCACAAGTGTGTTGAACAATCAAAAGACAAACAGAATACCCACTTAATCAACCTCGTGTATCTACCTAACGCTCATACACCATGCAGTATTTATGCTCTCAGCATGAGTATTCGATGCGGTTATTTTGAATCACAGACTAGCCACTTACTCTGAAAGCAAAAGCAGTGAGAGACCTTCAAATGAGTCACACTGTCTCCAGTGCTCTTAACGTTCAGATGACTCTGATGCAATAACACAACGAAATTGAGCTAAATGAAGTTTCCTTGCCACTAGAAACTAGCATGGACCAATAGATGCCTGCTAGCTGAAGGTTGTGTCATCGACTGACTCCAACGCATAGGGGGTTTCCGATAGCCGGCTCCTGTGCAGTTGGTTCCAAGCTAAATTACTCCAGGAATTTGCGACAACTACCGACATGTAAGTGTGTGTTACCTTAACAATAATCCCCTGGCCGATAAATTCATTGTACAGACAAGAGCATATATACACACAGCAATCGTCCGTGCAAAGTTTTATCAGTACAAAACCAGGTTCATGCGAACACGGTATATTCGACCGGTGCTACGGCGTTAGGTACAATCTTGCAACCTCATTTGTGAGAATGTAAGCGAATGCTTTCTGTGGATTTAACCCTTCGTATTTTCTCGCATCATACCTATGTTTAAAATGGAGATGATACTCAGCTACCTCGGTCACCAAAGTAATTCGATATCCACAGAAATGCTGTGTACAGTTCTGCCGATACCGCCCCAATATAATAACCTCTTAAAAGCAGGAAACAGGAACAGGTAAGTACATCAACAATGTGAAAATAATTCTTGTTCTGACAACTAACCCTCCTTAACGACAAGGATTAACAACCCGTACTGTACATAGAACCAGAGCACAATAATACCGTTTAGCTAATTTAGCGATTTTAAGCTTCGAAGAAAAAACGCAGAACAGAGCACAAAGCCCATAAAAGACCCAGTGCTGGTTCGCTTCAGTCAACTTGCTAGCCCAATTTGGTTTACAGACGCTCTCTGTATTTGGTACCTACTTATTTCGACAGTACATCTAGCTCTCTGAAGGAGGAAGACGAGATAATACCGCCAGGCGATCAAGTAACACTCAGATTGGTTAATTACTGCGGGTTTTATGTTAATAAAACTTACAACATTTTGTGGTAATATTTGGTGGTGATATCCAGGCAGTCGCATTCAGCTCAGATGGAACATGGTACAACTTCACTAGTTCAGTAAATATAGAAGCCAGTTGAGAATAGCAAATGAACCGTGAATATTTATCCAAAACGGAATTCATCGCCAAATATATTTGGTTTGCCTACTGGTAGTAATAAGTTTCCCAGAATCGGGTGAAAGCACACTTGGTTACTACCCCGTAACTATTACTGTGTTTCATTTCCTAATGCAATGATCCTGCAGCGTATGTATAACCATTACTTAATCGTCCTTTGCTTTCCTGGATTCCTTATGATTGAGTCAGTTATCAAATGTTCGGGCATGAACAGGTCCCCTACCACCTACTGTACATTCGGTACTCTCAAACATTTCCACTCATTTCTTCATGCATTTACTTAGACGATACCTAACAATGGATTTGCAGCATTAATGTAATGTGAGTCCATTCATGCTCCAGGTAATTTGGTGCCTGATTAGCTATAGTTTCGAACAAAACTTTACATCTTTTCTGGTGTTTTTTGATTACCTCCGGAGCAGGAGGGTACTATTTTAGTTATGAAATTATTGGCATGCTGTAATTTGTATTCCTTATGATTTATGTTGTCTGACAACCCTCCAACCCCTTAGTGGTGCTCCTTTTTACATTTTGCAAATAAACCTACCGTGGTGGAAGGAATTAGATGACTGTCGCTTTTTGCATGCCGACTGCGCATTAGTTCGTATTTTACGTTTAATGGGTAGAGAAAAGCGTTGCACAACAATGGAAATATGTTTTATTATAGACTAAGGTGTCCTTGTAGCATTTCAGTTAACGTCAATTCTTTGAGCGTTGGTACTTTAAAACCTGCTAATATATTTCATAACAGCTGTGTTGTGCAGCATGATAATTAACTTGAACTTCACAGAGAGTGATTTAAAAGTAAGTGCTGCGTTTTGTGGTGATGATCAGTAAAATGTATGCAACGATACTTTACAATCAGTTGCCAAGGTAATTTTACCGATGCTTAGAGACCAGCATGAATTTGAATTCCACAAATCTAGGTTAGAAAATGTTGAGCAGATTTTGCTAAATCCCTTCGACACAAGTGCTGTTTTCATTGTCTCTTCCAATTTCAATTCCAAGCACCTACCTATTGGAGTTGCATATCGTCCATGCATGTCTTTGCTTGCTTAGAACAACTCCAGTGACTTGCCACAACGGAGTGTTGATGTCCAGTACAATCCATTGACTTAGTATGTATGTGGTAATATTTAGCAATTTGCCATACCCTATTGTTGGTTAAGATAATCTGTTGCAGTTTAGAATTCCCATATACGATAAAATTTACTTTGTAGTGTCCCCTTGAGATATCGATGGTGCACTCAGTTTTAAAAGTGTAAACCTGTAAAATCACTACGAAAACCTATTCCCGTGGTTTTTCGAATACCAAGGGCACAACTATCCTATTTACTGAGATTAGAAGCTTTAAAACCTTTATTCTCTGTTTCGATTTTTGACAGTACAAATCACGGTTTTACCATATTTACCTGACAACACATGCTGACGGGTACAGGGCGTCTGGTAAATACGACTCGGTAGCGGACTTCTGTAGAGAAACTGTGGCGCTACTGCTTGCATTAGATAATACGTCATTACTAAACAGCGGTAACAAAAATGTAAAGATCGCCGCGTTTGTATACTTTTTGCGTAATCGTCAAGCGATGTCTTTGCCAAAGCAGAGGAGAAAGTCATTGGTTATCTGTATCTTAAACTGGACAACACAATTTTTAGGTACGGCTAAAAACTATCTGCAATGATAATCCCCAATTTATTGACATGTACAAAGTGGTGCAGCAACCAATGTGAATACATCGAAATAAAATTTTAATTACGCACGACGTCAACTACTAGCTGCCGCGCACTCTAGACTCCACATAGTTATTCTGTCATCAGCCACATGGACTTCGCCGCCTTCTGTAAAGGCAAACCAATGTTTTTTGACGATATTCGCAATTCTACACAGCTTTGTCAATTTAAAATGTGTTTTCATCACGACGATCGCAGTCAGCATAGGGCTGGATATTGTGACACACTGAAGCAGTTGGTAGGCGAAATGGATTACGGATGGAGGTATGAAAATTATTTGCAGTCCATAAAAATAAGCAGCAAGCAATTTAAAGCATAGTATCAACCGTGTTTATTGCTTATTAAGTTATTCTCAATTCTAAAAAATACAGTGGGGAGACGCATGTTACCATTTGACATCATTTCGGACTAAGTGATCATATGAAACTAGTAACGTGTACAATGACCCATGAAAAGCAAACATCGTTGCTTTAAATGCCGTCAGACAAGAAGAGGAAAATGGTCAATGTAGGGCCAAAAGCAGGGATACGATATGTGAAAAGACTATCACGATCCCCAGGGAAACCTGGATGTGACAGCTAACGCACTGTGGACGACGCCTATGAATTGATCAAACACACGGAAGTGTAAACATCGCTGACAAATTAAGGTGTTCCCTAAATGTTCAGACGCGGTTTATATACCTCCTGTTAAAGGAGAGGGTGGAATACATATGTGATTTTGTTATAAATCAGAAACTTGCCATATCAACACCTGTCGAATATCTGAATGATCCAATTTGTGCTGTGAGTATGTACACAACTTGTTGGAAGATGAGTTCTTCCGGCTGGGGGATGGGGTTGCCATGGGGTCCACTTGGCCAAAACTAGCGGATATCTTCTTGCCAGTGGTTATATGACATTGTGAAACGCATATCGATCAGATGTGTCTGTGCAGGCGATATGTTAATGTCAGATTAGTGCGCACCAAAATGATCAATGTCGTTTAGTTTATTATTAAAGCTATGAGAAACACCCACCGAAATGCCCATTCTTCATGTGAAGAGGAGAACAACGACTGTCTTGCTTTTTTTCGTAACTTTTATTGACCAGAACTACCGATGGCTCATTACGACGTTCTGCCTATCATGAAGCCACTTCGACAGGACTGTGTGAAAACTGCCTGTAACTTTAGTCAAAAAGCTGCCAAATGAAAATCCTTTTCCGACAAGCGCGCAGAATAGGTTGTTCTGAATATATTGAATCTGAACTATATTTCATTACAATGAGGCTAAAAATAAATGGCTATCGCAATCTTTCATTAAGTTCCACTGCTGTGTGAGTGAAGATAGCAAACGAAAGTCTCCTACTGTGTCAAAATGCCAACCTACATCCATCTACTCTCCAAACGAGATGTTGGAGCAAGGCGAGTTGCGCGAACTGCAACTACTGTAATTCGACGAACATCCACTGCTGACAGATTGTGTCGTCTTCGGACAACCCAGAATTTACCAACGCCGCCGATATCCGTCACAGCACAGGGTATTTACGCATCTGTCTGTAGCTGTCAGAGTAGTTGCATTGGCAGTACAGATCGGTGTTTGCGTAAGCGAATCGGAGAGCATATTCCGAAATGGCTTGTAGTTACTCTGACAGCTGATGCACGGAGAGAGTTGTCCAGCTCTAATTTGCCAGCCTTATGGATCGCTAAACACCTGCTTAGCAATGGTCATCAGGTTGACTCTAACATGGCACTTTCTGTTGTCTATCGTACTAAAAATGACAAAATACACAAGCTCGCCAAGACCGTAGCCATCAACCGTGATCTTCCAGACCTATTCGTACAAAAATAGTTACCTGTCACACTGAAGCTCCCTTGGGGATCCTGATAGTCTTTACACAAAGGTATCCCTATTTTTACCCATAAGTCTGCGTGTTATCTCTCTCTGTCCAAAAGGCATTTAAAGCAATGTTGTTTCCTTTACATAGATCGTTGTACGTGTTACTAGCTTGCATGTGATCATATGGTCAAAAATGGTATCGCCTTACAACATGCGCCTTCCCATTGTAAGGTTTAACAAGTTACAGGAAACACAATGCTTCTAATTTTCAATTAGAGAAAATGATAACAAACGCATTATTAAAAGTATTGCTAACCGTATAGCTAACTCCTGCTGTTACTATGCAAACCGAACATGTGCCTGACTTAACCATCAATCAACTGCAGCCTGAGAAGCAGTAAGAATGAGAGTAATAGTCCGGTCTTCATAAAACTGTATACCGCAGCTGATGAGATATAAAATTTACTGATCGTCAGTTGGGCCCCCTTACTACCAAAATATCTTATACCTACCAAAGCCATTCAGCCGTCAGTTTAGTTAGTGTTATTTGGGATTGTTCACCAGGTTCTTAGAAAACAGCTTACGCATAACGATATCCTCCACATATTCTCTGCTTCTGATCATTGCAAAAGAATTTGGGGTTCAGTATAAAAACCGTTTATCGAGCAACTTTCTGCTCGGTAAATTCACCGAAGTAGCTCGAAAGGTGTCATTCACGACACCGGTAACACGAGCTTGAAAACAAATCACACAGACACATCAACCTGGACCGATTTCCTTACCGCCAGTTCAAAGCCTACTCGACACGGAGTGGAAAACTTTACAAATAAGCTGTGTGAACGCAGACCAAGTCGACATCAAAATATGGAAGCCAATGTTCACAGTTATTTATGAGATAAGACGCGACCACTAGTTTATAACTTTACTTTTGCATTATGATAGCTTGGACTTAACAATCCACGAATGCAACCCACGTTCGCGTCAGATAAATTTTGTGAAATCGGTACGTCGTGTCAGAGCTAGAGTCGATTTAGTCAGCTTAGAATCGGATTTCGATTAGTCTAAGTAAAAACCAAACTTAGTTTAGCGCTTTTCATTTATCGGACATTAGATAGCATCACAGAGCTCTCTTTACACCGCGGTACGCCTGACTGCTGTCGGTTATGCGAAACGGCCGCCGTGTTGGACAAGCGGAAGGTCGGATTCATTTGTTCATGCAGTGTTTTAACTTCAGTTTTCTCAAAACTTGGACGTTTCTCAATTACAAAAGAGTGACCTTTTTCAGTTTATGATTAGCACGGCGTGAAATTGATCAAATTGCAATCTGGACCATACTCAGCCATACTTGTATCATCGACAGATACCGAATGGCAACAATACCTTTTGGAGCGCATTGCATGGTGTTTCGGAGGAATTCAACGCGGAGGCTTCCTGCAATTAATTCAGTGTCGGTATTTCTAAACAAAATCTTGGGGCACATGTTCCGCTATTAATAAATAAATAAATAAAATGTTTATTCTCGACTACGCGAAGCACGCCTGCACAGGCATGGTCATTATAAGGGTATACAAATGTGCCCAGTTAATGTACATTGAAACAATAGGGCTGTCACTTATGTTGATCTATGAATTATGTATGTGGGCATGTAGGCGTATGTAACCGTGTTTATGGGATTTGTAAGTGTCTTCCTGCACTTTTGATCGTGTCGCCAGTGCAAAGATATGCTTAATGTTTATGGACTTGAAGCGGTTGTACAGATAAGCAAACGGGTGACTTCAGTTGGTAGCGAGTCACAACCGCCACATCACAATGTGGTTCAGTCGACATTAGTGGCTTTTTACAGGGAGGACGCTTGCCAGGCGAAAACCCACCACATCCTGAAAAACTGCCGCGGAACTATTTACTGGAACGGGGTAAACCCGAATCACCCAACTGGCACCAAGATGAGGTTGTTCGGCTAGCCAGCCTGACGGGTAGATATAATGATCAATGTACTTAGATGTGGAAAATCAACACGTGTAACACACCGCACAAATTAGACACGAATCTCATAAGCAAACATCTTGGGTATAGCAGGTTTTCGGCAAAAGTTCTATTTGCAAACACTCCATCCATTTGGTCTATCCCAATCTGCAGAACCACAGGATGCTCAGCATACACAAATTCCACAACGGAGTTGCATTTATGTCTTAAATTGTTCCCGCTATTAAACGCGTGAGGTAGTAAGGAAGATATGATTGATTATGCATTACACTGAAATTAGATTTAATTGAATATTCTATTAAGTGGGTCGTCATAGTTGGACCAGTTCGATCCGACACAATCTTGACGCGTCTAATTGGGTTGGTTATCTACGTTCTAGCTATTTGAACTATGATGCAGGCTACAGTTTAAATCATTTCGTGTGGAAAATAACCGCACCCATTAGGTTTGATTAAATAAACGTCTATGCATGCAACCGTAAATCTAAAGCATTTTCAACAGTTTGTTCTACAATAAATATTACTAGTTGCATTTTATGTGTTTAATGCGCTTGATTCTCTGTGCTGTAGTATGTGTTACACTGTAAATATTCATTATATGTATGTATAATCTTATCGTGCGGTTTCATAAACGTTTACCTACTCTTGTTGCAGTCGATCAACACTGCCGTTGATGCCAGAAATGAGCTGCTTCATGACGAAATTAGCGCCGATTTTACCATTCAACTTTAAAGGAACATACCTACAAATGTTACTACGTTCTGCAAGAGGTACCCCTCTCTCCAAGCTCAATTTCGCTTTCAGTACGCCTTAGCAGACGCATGGCATCTCCCCTCTTTCTTCCGCATACCAATTTGCCCTTTTTCAACTTAACCTCGAACCAATGTCATCCAGTATTATTCCCCATATGTCCATATTTTGGCTTTAAGTAAGGCATTTCGGTTGTGAATTTCTCTATATTCACCAGCACGCGCCCTAATGAATTGCGCTTATTGCTCGAGCCTTGATAACTCCAAGCATCACTTTGTTTCATCCTCTCGTTCAAGTAGTGCTACAGTCGCTTCTGCTCATTGTAACGCCTTATCTTTCACCCGACCATATACAAAAAACTGGGGTTAACACTAACCCAAAAGCACTCAGCCCAGCGCCGAAATCACTAGTTAAACTATTTATTTTCAGTCACACTGAAGGGACAACTTATGCTTCATAACCAACGTTAATGTAGTACAGCCCCGAATACTTTTGATTTTAAAAACCCTGCATGGAATGTACCTTTTAAGAACCCTAGTCATGTGCTTCCTTTTGATTCCTTCAAATTTTACCATGCTTTAACTTGGTCCCATGAGTTGTTTATCTATCATGACCCCCTGAATCTTCCTAGAGAGGAATTAAAGTTCCGAAACCCATTATTTAGCTAGTATAACGGTTTTGTTGTGCATTTGGAGAACAAAATAAATCTTTTAAACCAGATGTGTATCATCATTCTTTACGAATTTTCAATTGGAAGGGAGTATACGACCAGCAAGGCAATGAGGATTCATTATCTTCGTTTTATCAAATTTCTTATAGTTGTACGAAGTTAACATACCATATCAACGGACTACGTTCAAGCGCATTTGAATATGGGGATGCGGATTAGGTGGAAACATCGAATATGCGCATTAAGGATAAAGACCGATTGCGATCGCTCATCGGCAGACTGGTGTGCCTAGTACAGACTAAGACAGGGGTAATGGGAATTTAGTGAAGGAGACATGCATGAAAGTCTTAAACTGAATATGGCTTGACCTAGGTGAACAGGTACCTGTGGTACAGTTTGATCAGAAGAATAACTTACTAGAATAATACAATCAGTTTATAGGAAATTATTAGTTAAGTTACACTACTAATTTATGTGCGTGTCTAGTTGCGCACACTGCTCTTCCAAATATGAGAATCTTCAAATTATACTGATTCCAAGGTTATGATTTTGGTATATTAATAACACAATCTGCGCTCAATGTCATCAGTCTGGCCAAATCAACAGAATGCAACAGAGGCGATGTTTAGATTCAATTGAATATTCACCGGATTAATTATTACTGCTATGAAAATTAACCAGAATTCTAATATATTTACATCAGATTCTTAAAGCCATTAATCCTACGACAAGGTGGTTATCCACGTCTTGATTCTAAGCTCTGCTTTATCTATGGCACTAATATACGTTATGCGTGACTAATTTAGAAAAGTGAGGCGCATTAAGTAATTGCGGATGTTAATGCACTCGTTACAAACTGTAGCATTTTGATCAGCTATCCAATTAATCTGAAGTTGCAAGTGATTTTACCTTAGTGTTCGGCAATTGGGCTGCATTTGCCCCAGATCGTCTCCTGCAATTCATCAAGCAGCAGTTTGTTAGTATTTCTGGCAAGGATACACTTAGATATGAACACTTATATGGCATCGACTATCGTCATTACTGATACTCAGTTGAATGCAGGTTCTGCTACTCATTGCTTGGAAGGATTTTCCTCAAAAGGTTTATGATACCAACTTACCACTACCTTTGTAATGAATTACTTCGGACCAGGAGTATTACTTCTTCATTTATTTGGGAAAGCATTCCAGATTGCTAAAACATTGTGGAAATGAGTTGTTGGTGATCCTTTTTGTGGCTGCGTTGCTAGCTACTTTCGGTTAGAAATCCCCTTGATATTTGCTGTGAATTGAAACTGGTGCCTGGCGGCATTTAGGAATGCGATCGTTCAACATTTGGTATACCGCTAGATCAATAAACAATATCTACTATTCCCCACTAGACACTTTAATTACCCTTAATAATTACTGGTTCAAAATGTGGCACATGTGTCCAGTATAAGTTTTGTTGACCTAAGCTGTAGTCTACGGATGCTTGACCATACTTTAACAAGGGCAGCGGATGTTTTGCAGGAGTACAACAATGTTGTGTCAGAATGCGCACAACCGTCATCGCTCACGTCTTCCTGGAATTAATAGAAACAACCGAGCTACGTCGACCTTTGCAGGAAAATCCAACTAAAGAACACTTGGCTAAGAAGGATGAAACTGATGTGCATTTTACCCTCCCAATACAAATCACCAACGCACTTAAAACTGTAACTGCTGATTATATAGGAGTTTAGCATATGTTTAGATGATACTATCTGATTTGGAAACTGGCTGCGATGGACCTCACTTAATTACATCAAAATCCCCTACTCTTGAGTGCATCAAATTATATCTACCCTGACAGTTTCTAAATGCTATGTCATACGTAGCTACTGTTAGTGGACGTCATGTCTTTCAGGGCCAACCCTGTCTTCTGCAACGTTCGTAACTTGCATGGCAGTGGAGGATAAGACGTGCTATATCGCAGTTAGCTTGTAAATCATGACGGTCCGAAGGTGTCCCTGTGGCCCAGTGACATAAGCTGCTGACTGGCGGTTAAAGCCGCTGGTGGTCATGGGTGCGAATCCTGATGGATCCGATGGGTGCGCACTACTGACGATACCCAACAGGCTGAAACTGCAGTCTAGTGCTTTTCCGGACATGTGGACGACTATCTGCTTTGGAAACTGGCTGCGAAGGACCTCACTTAAGTACATCAAAATCCTCTACTAATGCGTACTCATAAACTTTCAACTTAACGTTTTATTGCATAACCAATCAACCTTATAAAACTTCAAATACTTATCCCAATAGTTGCTTAATCCTCTGAAGAGTGAACTAAACTACGTGAATGATTGGCTGGCGGCATCCGGTTTCGGATTTGCCTGTCACTGTGGCCAGCCACAAGACACCTGAGCCTACAGAGGGACCATGGATGGCTTGCGCTGCACCACCCACAGCTTCAACCACACACCCCATATACAGTGTAAACCCGAAGGAATAAGACCGGGAGGCATGTGGATGGGAGCCACGTTTCATCAACGGAGCCGGACCACGCTCCTTCACAGACAAACACAAGCACGCTATATTTGGGGAATCAACCGCACACAAGGCGGTGGCTGGACCTTAGTCCGCTCCACACTGAGTGCATGGAACCACTCTTTGATCCTAACACGGCTACAAGAACCGTGCACACCGTCCCCTCCAGCAACGACCAACTGTCTCCTGGAGCCAGTATGGACGAGGTAGTGGGTGATAGACAGGTAGGCACTTTGTCAACATGCACATCAAGCGCAGCAGCAACTGGGATGTCTAACAACAGCCAATTATTCGAAATGTCGATATCGAATAAAGTAAACGCATATGACGACATAAATACTCGCTAAATGAGCATATGGAAGAAATTGGTTAAATGTGAATACGTAATAAGTACAAAATGTCCAAAAGTTATTTAAAAAATACCACGCGATAAATTTATGAAAGTTTACCACAATTTGCAAGAGCGACGTGTGTAAGTTGGGAGAACAAACCAAATAAAATGGAATGAAATTTATCTACTTTAAAAAGACCTAGTTTAACTGTAAGATGGTTTAGCCCAACTGCGGTGAAGATGCATCATGAATGCGACATCAGCCTCAGCATGGATACATATATATATATATATTATGTTGCAACCTCATTGCAAAAGATGAGGATTGTTACAAATACTCCAGAGCAGTTCAAAGATAGGCTTTTATCGCGTTCGAAAAGAGAAAGTAAGAAAGAAGGTTTGAAACTAAGATGAAAGTGGTCATAGGAAAACGTTAAAGGCTACCCGTGGAACCGTCTCTTGGGACGCTTCTGTGCTGAAAAGTTTTCATTCTCCCATGTCCATTTGGCCTTGTGCCGGTGTGGCGTAATATCAAGTGAGCCATCACCGTAATGAGCAATTGGCCCACAGAGCAAAATCAGCTTTTCGTTTCCTTTCTTTTATACGCTTTTAAGTCCATTTTAACCTCTGGCTCTTTCGAGTCAGGCACTAGTTCAACTCGCTTTGTCTGAAAATTTATCCTAAATGTGAAGCCTTTTATTTCATCAGTAGATCTGTGAAAATTCGCTGCAAATGGGTGTATTAAATAATCCGAAAGCTTCATTCCGTCAACTCAGAATATGGGCTCAGTCGTGGTCAACAATGGAACAGAGAAGTATAGAATGGGTGAAAGGAAAATATTGGTCAATGAGTGGTATATGTCCAACGTATTCTGCTTCAGGTTGTACATATGGTTGACATGGATAAATAGGCAACTACTAAAAAAGCAGCTCTCTAAACCATTTTGAGATAGATCTACAGACTCTGGTCAATCGAGTTATGGCGTAGTTGAGATTGAAATGTGGACTTCGCAGAACACCATGAACTGCCAATAGTAACCGAATTGTTTTCTCTGGGAAAGGAGTAACAACAGTTAGCAATCCGTATCTAGTGTAAAGAGAGAAAAGAACCATCATGTTTGCGTTGCGCAAAGTAAGATAATGTCCCGTAAGCATTGGCAAAATCTGCTTGGTTTAAGGAAAGGAAGGGGATATTATTCAGACAGTTTCCTGTATTATAATGCAAAGTTGTCCCTATGAAGCTAAACTTCAACACTTTCTCCATCCATTGTTTCCTTTGTGCAGTCCGGCTGCATTCATTTTTTGACTTGCAACACAGTTAGGTACATATCCAACATTATTCCGAACAACTGTTTAGACACATAGTCGCGATTCACTACATAACCTGTTGCAGTTTTACGGGTACATTGTTAGGCATAAAATTCTGTGTATGTTTGTTTTCGTTCTACCAGTAGGAAGCAAATTTCTCTTATGCCTAATCTCATGCCTACCATTCTTAATGAAAGGTATACTACTGCGCCAGGCAAATACGCGTTTGTGTACTAACTCGAACAGAAATTTCAGTTTAATTTAAGCGTTAAATAGCACTCCAAATATTTTGGCTTTGTTGAATCGACGATAAGCGGTCTCTATGTATAAAATATCACGTTTCCTACAACTGATAAACATCTTCGAGCAGGTTATTAAAAGAAGGTGCACGCATAAACGGAACATAACTTATGCCCGTCTTGAAAACCATTCGTAACTCTAATGTGTTTAATGAAGCAAAATAAAGCAAAGTATGTTTTGCCGGACTCTAGCAAGCAATGAGAAGCAGCTGAATACTAGATCATCTGAGAGTGTCATCTTTCATTTTGCATACTTACACTAATGCCAGCTGCAGACCCCCAAAGGTACATGCACTCAACATGTTGGGATAGGTTTAGAACTGATTGTGAATTCAAACATTTCAATGCAAAATTGTTTCGAGTATTTTTAGGCTCAAGATATTTCAAACAAACAGTTCCCTTTAGTAATTTGAATAAAGCTGTAAGAAAACGAACACTGCCAGATGTCAACATTCCGTATTGTTTCTTTAGTGTCAACTCAATAGCATGAACATATACAAGACGACAGGTAAGGTGAGACCGGAACAAGTTAGAACAGGGCAGGGAGCAAGCGTGACACCCCTAGGCCCAGAGCAGCCGTAGGCTTAAGAACAAGTTTCTGCACA